CTGAGACTGAATCTGCTATCGTCGCCACGCCAACTGTAGACGCTGTTCCCGCTCCCATCACCAACGTGCAAGATCCTATGGTAGCTACCGTCGAAGAACAGTCCAATGCTCGAGAGATCGAAGCCCCTCCAGAGGCTGTCGTTGCGTCTGAGGAACCTGCCCCAGCGCTCGTCCCTAGTCCAGAACAAGTCCCCAACGAACAAACCTCGGTACCAGCCCAGACTGAAGAGCCAGTACCTACTGAAGAGACCAAGGAAGAGACTATTGTTGAGACGCCTGTCCTTGATCCCAAGCTAAGCAAGAAGGAAGAGAAAAAGGCTCAGAAGCAGGCGGCCGCCCTCAGTGTCGAGCCCGCCGTTGAGAGCGAGACTATGGTCGAACCCATTGCTATGCCTGCAGCCGAGTCCTCTGTACTCCCCGATGTCATCGAGCCCACGTTGACTGAATCTGTTCAGCGACAGCCTCTACCGGAGCCATCTCCAGTCCAAGATCCCCTTCCTGTACCTGAAGCGACCCAGAATGTGTCTGAGCGTACCATCGAAGAATCGAGTGCAGGACCCGTCGAAGCTCAACCTCAAGATATCGACTGGGAAGATGCAACCGTCCTCTCTCCCAAGAAGTCGAAGAAGGCTAAGAAGGACAATAAGAAAAAAACTGAGCCCGTTGCTCTTGACGTAGCTGAGAATTTTGTTATCACACCATCAGAACTTCATGAGCAGATACAGGCGCCAAAGGCATTGGAACTAGGACCAGAAACCGCAGAGCCACAGTCGCAGCCATCTGTCACGCTTCAGGATCAAGCAAGCACTATCACAGAGTCAGACAACCATGTCATGGAGTCAGTAGTCGAGCCAGAGCAACCGCTTCCTGCCGTTACTGAAATTCCAACACAGCGCGAGCTCCCTGAAGAACCGGTACCATCAAATGAGGTAGAGTTTCCTGCATTGCCAGAAAGTACTCCTTTAGAAGATGCTCGGTTACGCACTGATGTTGGTCTTGAGGTTTTGGATCAATCTACAGTACCAGCAGCGTCCGATCCTCTGGAGCAAACACCTCTTCAAGAACCCGCTTCAGAAGTCCTCCCCGCCAAGGAGACTACCGTCGAGCCTATTCCGCAATCTACGGAAGTTGAACCAGTCCCTGTTCCATCGACACCTGAGACCGTTGAGACTACAAGCGAATCGCAACCACCCGTGGATGTTCCGAGAGACGAGAGAGAAATCGTATCCGAATCTTCTTCGCCTAAAAAATCAAAGAAAGGCCACAAGAGGAAGAAGAGCAAGAAGAGTATCTCTTCAGCTGACAGTACTCCGCTGATAGAAGCTCCCGAGCCAGTCAAGGAAACTCAGGAGACCACTGTCATTTCTCAAGAGCCTGGTGAACAAGCCGAAAGCCAGCCGAGTGTTGAACCGGTTGTTCCACGAGAGCCTGTAGCGCCTGGAGTTGTTGACAATGAGGTATCGCGAGAAGTAGCCGGTGTGCCAATGACTGAAGAGTTCTATCGACAAGTTGGACTAGAGCTTCCCAAGACCGAGGAGGCGACTACAGAAATTCCACAGGAGACGCAAGCACCAGCCACTACAGTTGACAATGTTCAGGCTCCTGCTCCAGCAGAGACAATCAGTCAGTCAGACCGACCTACTTCTCCTCCTACAGTGCCAATTGTGGAGCAACCTAAGTCCGTACCAGGTCTTGGTATTATCGATATCCCAATGGAAGACAGCACTCCCGATATTGTCAGCCAAGCTCCCGAGTCTTTCACTCAACGCGACGAAGCCAAGAAGTCTACTCAGGAGGCCAGCCATCCAACAACTGAGTCCTCCCCATCCACCAAAGCCATCCTTGGCCTCCGATCTGAAGCATCCAGCACCAAGCCTACTTCAGACGAGAAGCCTGAAAGCCCCTCTCCCACCCAGTCCTCTCCGATCCTCAGTATGCTAAGTAAGCTGAGGAAGGATAAGAAGGCGAAGAAGAGCAAGCGCATCTCCGACTCTACTCCGACGACTCCTGTAGCTCAATTTGATGCTACGGTTGAGACGAAGGAAGCGGTTGTTGAGAAGCCTGCTCCTGCGCCTGTGGTTGATGAGACTGTGGTGGCTAAGGGGGATGTGGTTGCAGAGCCGGTCATTCAAATGCCTAAGAGTGAGGCGAGGGAAGTCGGTCAGGAACCTGTTGTGGAAGAAGTGCGAGAGTTGTCCAAGCCATTTGCTCAACAGCCAGTCGAGAACTTGCCTACCGCTTCGGAGACTCTTCCAACTGTTGAAAAAAGTGTCCAAGAAACGGCAGTCGAGGAGCCGCCAACGCCATCGAAGAAACGTGAAAAGAAAGACAAGGCGAAGAACACGGGGGCCGTGGAGGATGTTTCGTCGGTTCTGCCTGAGACGAGCAGCTTGGTCGACCCAGCACCAGCGCCTGAATCAAAGGAGCCTTTTCATCCCGTTACCGCAGTTGAGCCTGAGATTGTCAAGTCGACGCCGCTATCGGAGATTCACGAATCAAGTGTGATGGAGACAGCGCCTCCGCCGATGACAGAAACAAGCCCTCTCAACGACTCGCAAGATAAACAACTCGTGACGGAACAGCCACTGGTAACCGAGTCAGAGCCAACTATTTCCTCTCTTCTAGAATCCAACGAGAGCAAGCCAAAGAGTGAGAAACAAGACAAGGTTTCGACACCTTCTGTAGCCGAACACACTCAGCAAGCACCCCTTTCGTCGACTGTTGAAAACGTTCAGCGTGAAGCAACGATAGACGTCGAACCACAAGCTCCTATAGCTTCGACCGAGACAACATCCGAAGACTCACGCCACGAAGAATCGCAAAGACAGAGTTTGCCTGACAAGATCGTCGAACGCTCATCTCCATTTCAGGATCTCCCTAGAGAGGACATGAGCGCTGTGGCACCAGTACCTGAGCCACCATCCAGAACGATTACTCCGCCAGTTGCACTCGCTCCTGTGCCTGCTCAAGTACCAGAAGTAGCGCAACCGCCAACACTCCAAAAGAAGCCATCCAAGAAGCACAAGCTGGCCGCACTTTTTGAGAGTGGACAATCACAAGGAGGCCCAACCGTTGAGAGAGGCCTACGCAAGGGAGCAAGTGGGAGCGTCAAGAACCTTGCTGAGCAATACGAGACTCAAGCTCGATCCATAACTCCCATCTTGCCTCCCTCCCCCGAAAAGCGTCCTCGATCTCCCGTCAAGAACCCTTTTGAACCTGAGAAACGCTCCGTATCACCTGAGAAGCGACCTCTATCTCCCGAGAAACGACATTTGTCTCGAGTCATTTCCCGCTGTCAGCTGGGTCCAGGATCACCAGGGAGATCAGATTCAAAGTCGCCGGCAAGAGAAATTGACTTTGCAGCTACCGTCGCTGCTGGTTTGCGAGAGTCTGGCTTTGATCCTGGATTCGTGATCAACGACAGATCGTTCCATCGTTCAAACTCTATCTCAAGCAACCACGACATCAATCCAGATGACGACGTGTTTGCTGCAAGGGAGAGGGCCAGCAGATCCCGACTTGGAAGCTTGAGTCACCCTTCATCTGCCTCTGGTTCGCCAAAAATGAGGCCAACTCGACCCGCCGAGCCTGAGGTACTACCGCCAATCGAAGTGGCTATGGGATCTGCACCCGCGGTCTCTTTTGACCCATTAGATGTTCTCAATGACCCGATTTTCTCGGCACGAAAATCACCTCCTGGTGTACTTGAGGAAGTCGATCCTGACGAACTGGCTGGTTATTCATCTCTCAGGAGGAACAAGGGCAACAAGAAACGCAAGCCTTTGCTAGAGACGCCGCCAGAGGTCGCTTCAGCAGATGTGCAAGAAGCTTCGATCGCGCCGACGAAACGAGGCAAGAAGTCAAGGAAGGACAATGAACATGCTTTACTTCCGCAGGACAGTGTTGAGTATACAGCTGCAAGAACTCCGGCGATTGAGACTCTTCCCCATGGGTCTCTTGCTGTTGAGACTTCGGCTGACTCCACCGTCCGCGAAGATAAGCATGATCAGTCTTTGTCTATGGCCAAAACCGAAGCTTCTAATGCGTCGAAGGGTCAGAAAGACGCGACTCGCGAGATCAAGGATGACAAAGAGCAAACTAAGGAGGACACTCCTAACCTACCAATCACATTTGATCAGAACCCACGTTCAGTAGCTATGGGACAGCTTCAAGAGTACCCATTCCCAAAGGTTGAGTCGGAGAAGGAGGTAGTACAGCCTTCAATGGAAGAGTCGCATAAGAAGGAGTTGGAGAAAGAAAGAGATATGGATGCATGGGCCCCGACTTCGGAAAAGAAGGGAAAGGAGTGCAGGAAGGGAAAGGAGAAGGTTGAGCTGGGTTTGGAAGAGACAGCATCACAAGTTCAGGAGCACCACAAACGCAGAACACACCCGGTATCTTTCGATGAAGAGCAGCCAAACGAGAAGCGTCTCCACAAGTCGGAGTCTTCAGAAAAGACTAAATTTGCGGCTGAAAGAACAGCATCGCCATCACATATGGAGGAATCAAACGAGAAGCAAGTTCAAAAGGGCAAGCAGCGTTCGACAGAACCAAAAACATCAACAGACGCACGTGCAGTTCCATCGTATACGCCCGCTCACGACAACCAAAGGGTGATTGACGACACTCCGACAATTGACAAGGGATCGTTGCGGGCAGCCAAGAAATTACGAAGTGAGCCGCAGCTTGGACGGATGTCACCTACAAAGGAGGTTATCCAGAAAGAGCCATACAAATCGATCTTCGGTGATCCCAACGAGAAGAAGGCTGAGGTTAGTGCGTCGCTTGCGATGCCAACTACCAAGCCTGAAAACACGTCCGGCAACACGCCATTGGCGTCAATTACGGAAACTAGCCCAGATGATTCTGCCATACGCAAGGGTTCACGATCCTGGAGTGACGTAGGTCAGACAGAGCGAGCACTCAAGTCAGCTCGTCGTAAGGAGAGTCTAAGGATGCTCTCTGATCGCCTCAGATCACCTTCGCCTCACTCTTCAGCCCCTGGAGGTCCCACAAGCATACCTCCGCCAGAATATATGACTGGCAGAGTCACGCCTTCAAGGGCCTCATCAAGGGGCTCGTCAAGGCGCCGAACCAGCGATGCCGTCGATCGTGCAACAGCTCTTAGCCCTGCACACCGGATGCCTCGCTCCTCTCCGAGCGCAGACACAATGAAGTCCGTTGGTCAGCAGCGTTCAGCCAGTGTGCAAAGCCAACGTTCTTTGAACAACATCGCGAGGCTCAGGTCTCCAGATTATGAACGTCCCTCAAGCGCTTTGAGCAGTCATTCCTCGCAGTCTTTGCGACGGATAGATCGACAAACGTCAGGTGATCTGAGGTCCGCTTCAAGGCTTGGCGAGGCCAGTGCGCAGGACGCTAAGAATGCGCAACCCACCCTCCCGAGCACTGATGCAGCTGGGACCACAGCAGTCATCGCAGGCACGCCGAACTACGATCCGGTCCGTGGTGAAGGCAAAGTTCGCCGGTCCAGTATGGCGGAAACCTTCGTAAGTTGACTTAATGCTGATGCGCCCGCTGTTTCAATTGCTAACTGTCATCTCTAGGAAGCATGGGGCGAGGCTCAGGGCTCGTCCGTGTCGCCCTCGCGCCCTCCAAGCGTGCGCAAACGACAAAGTATGCAGATCTTGGATTTGCAGACGCAGCTTGAACAGCTTGCTGCACAAAATTCACTACTTGAATTTTCCAGGGCAAAAGCTGAAGAGAGCCTACAGGCTACCCAACATCAGCGCCAAGTTGACGAGCAGGTGGTACAAGAAGAGATTGAAGCACGTGACCGCGAGATTTACAAGAGGGACATTGACATTGCGCAACTCAAGGATACGCTCAAGCGACTACAGGAAGAGATTGCACGCCTGAAAGAACTCAACAACTCACTGACAGAAACCAATCGCAATCTCACCAACGATGCCAACACACGGTACGCCCAGCTTCAAGCAGAGAACCGCAGTCTCATTGAAGAGGCGAATGCACGATACGCGCAAATGGAGGCCGAAAAGCAGGCCTTGATCAGTGAAGCTAATGAAAAGTATGGAAACCTTCAATCTGAAGGGCAGATGGTTCACGAGCAATGGCAAACCTCGCAACGAGAATTGGAACAGCTCCGCCTGCAGCACACCAGAATGCAGGAAGGGTTGGCGGAAGCAGTCCGCGACGAGATTGGGGAGGCGCTTGACCAGCGCAAGGCTGAGATTGATCGCCTGACGGCAGAGCTTGACGCCGCACGCGAGGAAATCAAGACGCTGCAGAAGGAGATTCTGGCTGCCAAGAAGCCCAGCGAGAGTTTCCTCACTGTTCGCGATGAGGATTACTTTGACAGCGCATGTCAGCAGCTGTGCCAGCATGTGCAGCAGTGGGTGCTGCGATTCTCAAAGTTCTCCGACACTCGCGCATGTCGTCTATCGTCGGAGATTCAAGCCGATACCAGGCTAGACCAGGCGACTCGTAAGAAGATCGACACCCGTCTAGACAATGCCGTCCTCGATGGTTCGGATGTGGACGCACTACTTTCGGATCGTGTCAGGCGACGAGACGTCTTCATGTCAGTTACCATGACTATGATCTGGGAGTACGTGTTCACCAGGTACCTGTTTGGTATGGACAGGGAGCAACGACAGAAGCTCAAGGGGCTGGAGAAGACGCTATCAGAAGTCGGTCCACCACGCGCTGTAGCCCAGTGGCGAGCTATCACCCTTACCCTGCTCTCGAGGAGGGAGCCATTTGTGAAGCAGCGCGCTCAAGACACGGAGGCCGTTGTACATGAGATTTACAGCACGCTCACGACACTTCTTCCGCCACCGTCAAATATGCAAAAGCAGATTCAAGAGTCTCTCCGCAACGTCATGCGCTTAGCTGTTGACTTGTCGATTGAGATGCGCACCCAGCGCGCAGAGTACATTATGCTACCGCCGCTGCAGCCAGAGTACGACACCAACGGTGACCTCGTTGCGAAGGTCACGTTCAATGCCTCGCTCATGAACGAACGATCAGGCGAGACGACACCAAAGGACGAACTCCAAGCGCGCGGTGCGATTGTCAAGATTGTACTGTTCCCTCTCGTCGTCAAGAAGGGTGATGATTTTGGCGAGGGTGAAGACGAGATTGTGGTGTGTCCTGCCCAAGTACTAGTACAAGGGTCGAGGACTAAGAAGATGGCAAGGGTGGCGAGCGGTGCCATGTCCATTAATCGTCCGGATTCGAGAGGAAGTCGGATCAGCCGCGTCACTAGTGTCGCTCCGCCTGAGAGCACCATCATGGACTATGAGAAGCCGGGAAGTGACATGTTTTAGATGCGCGGCAGATGATTTTTTTGTTATGATTTTCTTTTCCGTTGTCACCCCATTGCATGCGTATGGACTTTTTGGATTTGGCGTTTGGCATGTTACCCATTACCCTTTGAATGACTTTTCCTTATGTTTGGATTTCTGGATTTTGGATGATCGAGTTTTATACCAGTATTGTTTTGAGCGGATGTGTACGTCTAGTGATTGTAGGTTATATCCAGAGCTTGAGAAAACGGCAGATAATGATCATTCTTCAACTTCATCCTGATATCCTTACCCGTACTTTGGAGACCTCATACCTAGCTGAACTGTCAGTGTTGGCGACACATGCGCCTACGTCGGGTGTACGTCGGGTCGACTTCCTCGGCTGTCCCTCCAGCTGAAGACGCGTTAGCCCTGTTTTAGTCAACCCCGCTTCCTTCCCCCCTTAGCGAAGCAATTCGAGCTGCTCCTTTCCACCGTAGCCAAGCACCTCGAGCAGCTCCCTCCCATACTAGGCAAGGGCAATTTAAGGCGCACCAACACCATGTAAGACGCCCAACGGTCGCTGCGATCAGCGCAGTTTACTACATATTCACTCCTTTTTTTTCTCTACCAGTCAAGCCATCTATTGCCATCCAGAGCCGTCCATAATGCCGATTCGAAGCGAGTGGAGCCTTGCACGCGAGGGTACGTGTCATGAAGACATTCAGCTGTTAGAATAAGTAGCCATTGAAACATATCAACTAACATGGTGTTTAGGAATCACCCGCGATACCTTGGTCAACCTGCTCAAGCTAACGGCCTTTAATCCTGCACTCACACTGCCAATCTTTTTGCTCGCACGCTACACGCAGCAGGGCAATTCGCTTGCATCTGAGCACTCTAATGCATTTAAGCACTTGAAGACGCTGCTTGGCCTGGGATTGTTCAATACAGCCAGTACTTGGCTAAGCAACCGCGTCATCAACAACTGGACTAGCGACAAGTATGACTGGAATCGCGAGGTTGTCGTTGTGACTGGTGGGAGTGATGGAATTGGCAAGATTGTCGTGCAGCTGCTTGCTGAGAAGGGGATTAAAGTCGCTGTGCTAGATGTCCAGGACTTGACGTATGAAGGTATGTCTAGCGTGCCAATTAGTTTCTCCAACTTTAATTGCAAGAAGGAGGAAGAGGAAGAAAGCCATCTCATACTAACAACTCCCCAGCACCCCCATCCGTCAGCTTCTTCAAATGCGATCTCTCCTCCCCCAAAGCCATTGCAGAAACCGCCTCTGCTATCCGCGCCGCCCTCGGCAACCCCACCGTCCTCATCAACAACGCTGGCGTTGCCCGCGGCAAAAACATCCTCGAATCCACGGAAAAAGATATCAACCTCACCTTCCGCGTCAACTCAATGAGCCACTACTACCTCGCCCAGCAATTCCTGCCCCACATGATCAACACCAACCACGGCATGATCGTCACCGTCGCCTCCATCGCAGCCTACATCCCCGCCCCCAATATGGTTGACTACTGCTCCTCCAAAGCCGCCGCCCTAACCTTCCACGAGGGCCTCTCCGCCGAACTCGTAAACACCTACAAGGCTCCCAAGGTCCGCACTGTGGCTGTCTGCCAGGGCTACACGCGCACCGCGCTCTTCGAGGGCTTCGATCCGAGCGGTGCGCTATACCCGGAGACGGTGGCTGAGTCGATTGTTAAGGCGGTGCTGAGTGGAAAGAGTCAGCATGTTGTTCTGCCCGAGAATGTGTGGGGTGTCCTCCCGAAGCTCAGGGGACTGCCGCTTTGGATGCAGTACGGGATTAGGAAGAGGTTGGGCGGGTTGATGAAGGAGTGGAAGGGACGACAGGTTGTGCAGCCGAGTGAGGTGGAGGAGGATGGTCAGGAGAAGAAGGCAGATGATAGTACGGTGTTTGTGGGTAAGGAGTAGAGGGGTTATATATAAATTGGATTGTTGGGGGGGAAGGGGGGTTTTTTGGGTCAGGGTTTTGGTGAGGGGTGCGTTGGGGGAGAAAGGGTGCCGTGGGTTGGTAGTGTATTTGCTTTTTGTTGGAATTAGTTTCAGTTATTTTATATCCAATCTGCGGTTTTATCGTTTCTTTTCCATCCTTCATTTGAATGATATGTGGAATGAAAGTCTTGTTCATTGCTTTGTTCAAGATGGTAGTGAATTAAGAGTTTTTTAGTATTGTATACTTGTACGTCTTTGCGCTGCTCGTCCCATTACCATCTACTTCATCCAACGCTAGTTAGTCTCAAAAGACAAAATAGTTCGTCCGGTAAACTGGTACGGTTCCAAACACATTACCCTGACGCTTTTCGAAAAGGCATAGCACGTACATGTTTTCGTCTTCATAGTTGAGATGGTACTTGCGGATTATGCTGCGAGTCCAATCTTTTGAAGTTAGGTGTGATGAATGCGATTGATTTTGGTTTGTTGATGAAGGAATTGAGTGTGGTGGATGGATGGATGGATGGTCAGTTGCATATTGCCGTCCATCCCTTCCTCGGGCCATACAATCATCTCAGGAAGCTAGAGCACAGTTTTTTCTTTTTCGGGGGGAAGGGTTAAAGGGGCATATAATTGATATCAGGCTTTTGCGTATTGAAATTGAGGAAAGAGGGAAGTGGGAAGTGGTTTAAAGAAGGGAAAGAAGAAAGGAAGAAAAGATAGCTAAGCTCCGCCCCAAGAAAATTATCAGATCAATCTTACTTCCCAAAAAAAAGAATCCATATAGATTTGTGTCGCCTTGCCATCAACCCGACCGTCCATTATGTTCTATTCGTCCAGCTCGGTACTAGGGCGCTTATAGCCAGCATTAGTGTTGCCTAAGAAACTCCAAGTCTGCTCTTTTGACTGTTGCTACTATTTACTAGAGTAAATAAACTTCGACTTACTCTTCGGAAAAAAGTGTATCAGGCTAGGAGGTTCGGAGTATCTAGTTAGGTATTAGCTGTTGCTTGTTAGCACAGGGGAGTGGGTAGGACGACAGGGTGTCTGTTCGGCGGTATTGTAGGACGTGACGTTGCCGCAAGGGAAACCCGATAAGAGTCTGAAATAGAAACGACAAAAAAAACTTAGGTTGGTTTAAATTTTGATGTAAAGACAGCTACATTTTTGCTTGTGAATATTGCAGGAATCGTTTCCCCCTTCTATTCGACTGTGAGAAAACGGACTTGCGACTTGCTTGTTGTGTATACACCTCTTCCCTACTATCTGTCTTCAAGTTTTCCTTTGCTGTCTTGCAGGTTATCCTTGTGGTACTCGTTGGCTGAGTGACGCGTACGCTTGCACTTCTAAGTAGACTACTTGATCTATGGGATGATAGAGCGAATTGCGACTACTCTACTATAACGACTTGCAGTAACAGCGTTTGCGAACGTAAAATCATATATTTAAGTTGCATGTCTTATGCAAGATAGTTCTTGTACTTAGGTGGGGCAAAGTGCGTGTATCAAGCTCATTCCAGAAATTGGCCAAAATAATATTTACTTTAGACTGTCCATGTGTCCAGCGATAAGTGGATGGTATTTCCTCGCACTAGTGTGGGAGCGGGCTGATTGTTCTTGTGACTTTGACAGCTTGAAGGTTAAAAGCCATTCTTATATTGATGGTGGCGGGAGGAACCAATAATGTATTAATATCGCTACAAGTATGTTTTTGGCTCATAGAGCTTTAGGTCTTAACAACATTAGGACTACTAAGGTACTTACTTTAACTTATTACTCCTTGTAGGAACGTTCACCTAGGCTGCCAATAGCGCTGCGTAGTCGGGGCAAGGTCTGTTTACTAGTAGGGGAGTGCCAGGATCTACTCAATCAAGAGAAGAAATGTTACTATAACATTTGTTTTCTCTCTGTATTCTACTGATCTATACAAATTATCTGAGTAGAATTCCGGGTTAAATAAGCTATGCTCTATACTGATTACTACCTTCTGATATAGATTTTAGCTGGCTGTAAACTTTTTATTCCATATTAAGAAGAAAGTTCTATTATCACTTATGTTAATATGTTCGCTATAACTGCTACAGCTATCCCAAATTTTCAAGTAAAGCGAGCAGATATTTCCTTCGCGCTTGGTATGTGCCTCGTGTTCAAGAATCCATGATAAGCCCCCTTGCGCCACGTAGATCCATCACACCACTTCCTCAAGTACCAACACAAAACTAAGAAGACATTACCACCAAGCATCGACTATCATCCCTACACTCATCAGCAGGGCAAATGTACAGTTAAGTCACTGTGAAATAACCTGCGAAATTGACGTCAAAAGGTCACCCCATCTGCACCGCTATCACAACCATCATCATTCTATCATCGCTCATCTATTTCCTTCTCTAGCATCCCAACCCTAGCTCCCCATCGCTCCCCCAAATACCCCCTGAACAACAACCATTCGCATCTTGAAACCTCTCAAAAATGCCTCGCGCTATCGTACATATTTGCCGACAAAAAAACTCCTCAAATAAACCGGTCTTCGATAAAAGCAACAACCCTTCCGCTCGGATATCTCTCGGGAAATGAACGGTGTCCAATGCCATCGTCCCACTGTTCCAAATAAGGTATAGCGCGTAGGTAGATAAGCAATGCGGCTCGCCGCCTCCGCGGTTAGTGTACATAATGTCGGAAGGGAACACGTGTCTGACGAGGCGATTAGAGGTGCCAAGGCCCGAGAGATATCCGGTTGTTTGGGAACGTGTGAGTGCATGTGTCAATGGGATCGTACGAAGAAGGGTGGAAAGGGTTTTCATTTGTTGATGGGAGAGGTGGGAAGAAGTATATATGAAGGGAGGGAGAGAATGAGGGATTTGGATTTTTTGCATCAGCGGATTTCAAGGTGGTTTCCTAGCATCTCTTTTTTTCGAGTATCTTGAATAAGGCTGGGAATACATCAATACTTGGACCTTTCATCTTTTCTAGTATCTTTTATATTTCAAATCGACACTTCGATATAAGACCCTCGAGTGGTCCCCAACTACACCCACTATGGCCGCAGAGGGCATCCGATTCCCAGTATCAAGGGACTTTGCTGATGCCCACTCGCACTCTCCTTATAACGACAACGACGCTGCCTCGGAAAGAACAACGGTCGAACCTCTCCACCGAGCGCCAACAGCCGACGATCTCGTCAACCTCCCCACACGTATCCTATCCAACAATGCCGCCCTCGAAGAATACACACAAGAAACGGTCTCGGGACAGATAGTGCGAGAAGTAAGATCCAATGCCGGCAAAGTGGAAAAGTACGACTTGGTCACGTTCGTCGTGGATGACAAGGAGAACCCCAAGAACTGGAGCAAGGCGTTCAAGTGGTGGTGCACGATGTGTGTCGCTTTGACGTGTTTCGTCGTGGCGTTCAATTCGGCGGTCATCACGGCCGACCTCGAAGGCGTGAGTGCTGAGTTTGGAGTCAGCGAGGAAGTGGCTCTTCTCACCATTTCGCTTTTCGTTGTGGGATTCGGTGTTGGTCCTATGGCTTTTGCACCTGCGTCCGAGATCTGGGGCAGGAGGCCTGTATACACTGTTACACTCGCAGTTGCCGTCATCTTTACGATTCCTGGTGCCGTCGCAAAGAACATTGGTACTTTGTTGGTCACTCGGTTCATTGCCGGTGTGGCTTTCTCGGCACCCATGACACTTGTGGGTGGCACATTGGCAGATATGTGGAGGTCAGAAGAGAGAGGTGTACCCATGGCTGTGTTTTCAGCAGCTCCTTTCTGTGGACCAGGGGTTGGTCCCCTAGTTGGTGGCTACCTCGGTGCAGCCGGTGGCTGGCGCTGGCTCTACTGGATTCAGCTCATCCTCAGCGGTATCATATGGATCTTGATCTCATTCACGGTTCCGGAGACGTATGCGCCCAAGATTCTCGCGAATAGGGCAAAGAAGATGCGCAAGGAAACTGGCGACGACAAGTACGTTACAGAACAAGACCTTGATATGCGACCTTTCAGTCAGCGCCTCCAGCTGTTCCTCCTTCGACCATTCCAGTTGCTCTTCCGCGAACTCATCGTCTTCTTGATCTCCTTGTACATGTCCGTACTGTACGGTCTTTTGTACATGTTCTTCGTCGCCTACCCTATTGTCTATCAGAAAGGCAAAGGGTGGGGTGCAGGACCAACTGGCCTGATGTTCACTCCACTCATCTGTGGTGTTTTCCTCTCCGCTGCATGCGCGCCCCTCGTCAACAAGCATTACCTCAAGCTCTCGGAAAAGTACAATGGTCGCCCTCCGGCGGAAGTGCGTTTGATTCCCATGATGTGCTCATGCTGGTTTATTCCAATTGGCGTCTTCATATTCGCTTGGACTAGCTACAAAGACCTTCACTGGGCCGGCCCTGCATTTGGAGGTGGAGCGGTCGGTTTTGGCTTCATCTTCCTTTACAATGCGGCAAACAACTATTTAGTCGATTCGTACCAGCATCAGGCAGCTTCTGCGCTGGCCGCCAAAACATTCCTGCGTAGCTTTTGGGGCGCCGCGGTCGTTCTATTCACAAATCAGATGTACGACCGCCTTGGAGACCAATGGGCAAGTTCATTGATCGCTTTCATCGGTCTTGCTTGCTGTGCAATCCCCTTTGTGTTTTACTTTTACGGCGCAAGGATCCGGGCTCACTCGCACTACGCATATAGTGAGGAGGCCGAGCACAAGGATGAGAAGCAGGTTGTGTAAGTGGCGATCAAGAAAGGTGGTGCGGGTACGTCACGTGACGACATGATGCATTGTCTGGCGTGAGTAGTGTTTGGCTGTGGGAAATACCTTTCTGTGTTGCATTGCATGGCGTTTGGAAGGATTTGTATCGGATACCATCCTCTTTATATGTATTTAGCATTCAACAATCATCCATACTCAATCGTTATCTTCGTTCCTGTCTTCGCGTTGCGCCCCTTGGCCGAGAGGTGGTAAAACTGTGAGTGAGAATCGACACATTGACTCATGGGCTAGCAAACTCTATAATTTGACGCGTGGATCTTGGAGTGCGGTGATGTCATATGCGAGGGTGATGATGAGGATCTTGTCGAGGAAGATTTGGGCGCGAGCCAGCGACAAATCGCGTGACTGGCTGGGCCGGATGCCAGCCGGCGATCCTGAAGTTACCGGAGTGGGGCTTCAGCGAGCGGAAAGCCCGAACAACACTCCACCAAGCGCGCCTATCCGGCCCATCGTAACTTTCCACGACTTTCCCCCGAGCTTCGACCATGGATGAACTCAAAGACCAGCACAATCCACATGCGCCAAATGGATTTAGTATGCAAGACACGCCGCCACGGGCTGACGTGGATGAGATCTTGAGACGGAAGCGGAAAGCGAGAGAGTACAAGGTACGCTATTCGGATGCGTCGTGTGCAGTGCAGAGCGTAGGAGTGGAGTGCATGGAAGAGCGAGAGATGTGGAAAAGAGGAGGTCGCGATGGCTGCTAGATGTTAGCACCGGGAGTTGCAAGCAGACGGCCTCTCTGGTTTACCGAATTGGGCTATACAACCCGGCGCATTCTGGCCTGTTAGGAACCACGGCCCCACGGAGATGCGCTGACTCTTGATTCTTCTACAGGCTTGTTATCCGTGTCGACAACGCAAGGTCAAATGCGACCAAAACGTGCCATGCAAGACGTGTGTTGTTCGCGAACATCCTGAACTATGTACCTACCACCCGCCCAGCGAGTCGCACCCGCCTGCGAAACGGATAAACCTCGCCGTCGGACAGAGCAACGGACATGACTTTTCCAACGGCCTGGTTCATATACATGGCGGTACCGTCACACTGCCACGAGAGGTGCGCACATGAGTACAAGGGGAACGAGACGCAGACTGACCGTGGCAGGACTGGGAGCGCATTTGTGGCAAGCTACAGCAGGCTGAGAAGTCGCTCAACGACCTGAAGAACGCCGTAGGCAGCGTCGCAGAAATACCGCCACCCGTGAATGGCTTCTCTCCGGGAGATGGATCTGGAAACACACCCTTGGCTGCTGCAGCACCCATGGACGGCGAACAAAGCCACGTTCGAACGCAAGGGATACACACGCGCAACGACATCACTGGCCAAACAATACACATCGGGCCCAGCTCAGTCCCGGCTCTCGTCATGGCTTTAGGAAGGGGGGACACGCAATGGGCGCCGGGAGTGCAGGATTTGTTAGGCAAGAAAAGCATGCTGCCAATATTTGGGTTGGACAACGAGAGCGCTACATATCCGTTTGTCGATCTATGGGGGCTGCCTCACGGATCGATACTACGCGCTCAAGAGTTGGCTAATGCCTTACCGAGCGACTCTGAATGTCTGAGTTTCTTCCGGAGTTATCGCGAAACCGCACACGCAGTATATCCCGCTGTGGCCGATATTGAAGCCATCGAATCCGATCTCTTACTCTTCCTGATCAACCGCGCAAGTTCACAGGGCAACAATGGCGTAACCGATCAGCAGATCCACGGCAAAGACTTCCACTGGATCGGTCTTGTTTTTGCAATATTGGCGTCAGGATGTCAATGTTCCAGCCTTACAAGGAGAGAACGGGAGCTGACCTCGCAGGTCTATGTATGCTGTAGCTTCGAGTGCTTACGCTTCACCAACTTTTTGTCACATGCGAACATCGAAAACATACAGACTCTACTTATTCTTGGAAACGTCATCTCGAACAACATGAACGCTGGGGTCGCTTGGAGTCTGATGGGCTTGACTGTTCGCCTTTCCCAGACACTAGGATTACACCGACAATGCCCACCATCAACGCCCGTGCAACAGAAGGTCATTCGAAGCAAGGTGTGGTGGGCACTGCTTTGGCAAGACTCGCTACTTTCTGTCTCATACGACAGGGCTTCGTCAACCACTACCATCGACCACACAGTACCAATGAGTCAGCACACGGCGCCAGGCACAAGAACATATGTCGAGAGCATGTATCGCTTGTGCAAAGTAGGTCTCGACATTGTGCGCGAGCGTCAACGGCCACAAAACTCACACGATGCTTTGATGAGGATCACCGAGCATCGAAACGAGCTTCAAGAAATCATGATAGACGCAGCAGACTATCTAAAAGACTCGAGAAGATGCCGGTCTATGCGAGATCAACTGGAGCACTGGGCATTGTATCTCCACATTTCATATGTCACCTCGGAGCTGTGTCGACCAGCCATCAGTCCAGCCACGGCCAATTTTGACCTTTCGAAGACACTGCGCAAGACATGCATCGACAGTCTGACCAATACTGTCGAGGCTTTTCTCGGCCTTCAAAACATGACGCCCTTTGCAACACGATCGTGGTCTGCCGTGCACCGCTCTCTCAGCTCAGCCCTTTTGCTTGGAATTCTCGGTGAGCACAATCGCAATGAACGTGCACGGGGTCTTTTGCAGAACGTGATACAAGTCCTCACGGATGTTACCAAGGATGTCGACCCTGCTGAGCTCGCGACGCCTATTACAAGATCTGTCTCGGCGCTTGAGCGGTTGCTCAGTATCACATCGACGCACACACGCAAGACCAGCGAGACCGGCTCGCAAGCATCGCCCACCATGCACGTCTTTACGGCGCACGACATCAACAACGCACTTAGTAACGACAATGACAATATGTTTTCCCAGTCTCCACTGCTTGGTTTGGAGCTGGACTCTTCTCCATATGCTCTCATGGAGAGCATTGTATGGGGCGCGCAAAAGTCGCCGTGAGAGAACAGATGCGGGGGCAAGATGCATTGGCAAGCAAAGGCGATTCATGATACCCAAATAGGCTTAAAGGCGGCAATCCGGGATGGAGCGGGCGATGGACATCGCAACATCCCTGGCTTCTTTTTTTGTTTTTTTCTTGTTCCTCTGTTTGTCTAACGGTCAAAAAAGCGACGAAGTAATCTTTTTTGTGTAGTTTTGCGGTAGCGCTGGGATAGGCACTATGAAAGTATATTTTCTAGGAATGGCGGACGGATCGGCCTACCGAGGGCATGAAAGGAATAATTAAAATGATTGGCACCAGTGCTTTACTGGCTCTACGTACTACGATGGTGCTTGGCAAGACACATGTCTGTGGTACTTGGCTTGGGTGGTGGGGAGTGCTCGCTGCCTGCCGCTAGGCCAGCATGACGTTGCTTAAGCGAGCGATTGCATACCGGACCCTTGCTGTCGTGATGATTGCACGCCTCTGCCTTGTAGCCCGCGCCTGTCGCTTTTTCTTGGATGGGCCTTGACGCGCAGTTTTCCTAGAGTTTACGACCAGCTCAGCTCGTCATCGTATAGCCATACCGCGTCCTCGCCATGTTTATGCTCCGAAACCGTGAGTGCCGCTCTGTTTGCTCGTTTCTTGCTCTCACCTGCGCATGCCCCTCCCCCGCCGTTGCTGCGACGACACTAACTTTGTAACACCAGTGGGTAAACTTGTCTTTGGTGATAACTCCAAGGAAACCATCGTCGAAATCCCCCAGGGCCAACTTTATCTTGTTCGGCCTCGCTCTGTCAAGGGCTATTCGGAGCTTATCTTCAAAGACGCCGCTGCCACCATCCGCCGCACTGGACAAGAGTTCCAGTACCAGCTCGTTGTCCAGCGCGCATACGAGGAGGGTGAGGAAGATCTGCTCGCCGAGGAGGACGAGGACGCAGCTTTAGATGCGCTAGCTGGAGACAAGGACGAGAAGACTTTCCTGCTTGACGAGGACCTCCGATTGCGCGACGACGTACGCTCCACCGGCGAGAAGATCTTTGCCTGGCGCGACCTGAGTGGCGACGTTGACGACCTCTGGGAGTTTGTCTGCGACCCCTCAGTCAAACCAGAGACCGCTGCCCTCTTTGAGCGTGTTGCCCTGCAGTGCCAGTACGAGAGAAAGTTCAGGCGAAGTCACGAACACGCGACTGAAGACGACCTTGCTGCACTTGCCTACTACGAAGAGCCCATTCCTGACGCAAGCCCCCTTGCTAGCCCCACGAGCTCGACCACCTTCGTCCGACCGATCGAACTTCCAACAACCGAAGACCTCTTCCCAAACACTACAAAGGAAAACATGAAGAAAAAGGTTGTTGGCAAGGCCGCTGTTCCAGAGCAGGAAGATGCCACCACCGCTCCACCATCTGCCGCGCAGCCACAGACCCTCGAAACCTTGGTTGAGGGCGATGCCGAGCTCCACCTCTTTGATTTCCCCTCTGGTACGTTCATTAGACAGGATCCCAAGGTCAATGTTACTGTGACGGAGATCGGCGACTGGAACTACTGGTTACACATCGTTGGTGAGGAGCGCGAGTGGCTTGGACAGCCCATTGTGGAGGATATCAATCCAGTCTTCAACTATGAATACAAGTCGTTCATCTTCAATCACTATCTGGAAGACGGCTCTGCATACTCATGGCTTCTAAAATTCAACCAACAAGAAGAACTCGAGAACGTACAGCAAGGTGTCATGCAAGCACTTTGGGAGCATTTGAACAAGATGAAATGGGGCAAAGCAAAGGACACCGATCGCGAGTACGTTCTAGAAGCATTCCAGGATTTGACCATGGAGGATGTTCCAGAAGAAGAGGAGGAGGGAGAAGAGGAGGAGGAATATGAAGAAGAAGTCGAGGACACCAACGACCAGCATAGTGAACACTATGATTCAGACGAGTCTGAGGACGACGTCGAGACTCGTCCCAAGGATGGAGACGAGAACTCACAGTTGGCTGTAGGCTACAAGCATGACAGGTCGTTCGTTGTCCGAGGCGACAAGATAGGTGTTTTTAAGCACACTCCCGACAACCAGCTGCAGTTCTCCACTACTATTTCAAACATCAAAACTCCAAAGGGCAAGGCTTTCAATCCCCACAAAGTAATGCTTCATCAACAGGATCGGGATATGATTCTGCAAAACTTGGAGAATCCGAACAACCTCTACCGGATGGATCTTGAGACCGGTACTGTTGTGGACGAATGGAAGGTGCACGACGACATTCCAGTCAAGGTCTTTGCACCAGAAAATGTATGTACAATTATGATTTCCAAAGATTGTATTGCGAACTAACGGCCCATAGAAATTCGCTCAAATGAGTGGCGAGCAAACCTTCTTGGGTCTTTCCGACAACGCCCTCTACCGTGTAGACCCTCGTTTGGCTGGCAACAAGCTTGTTGATGACCAACTAAAGCAATACGCTACCAAAAATGCGTTCTCTGCGGCTGCGACTACCGCCAAGGGTCACATTGCTGTAGCGTCCGAGAAAGGAGATATCCGTCTGTTCGACAGGCTTGGTATCAACGCAAAGACGCTTATCCCCGCTTTAGGAGATCCAATTATTGGCATGGATGTCTCTGCAGACGGTCGTTGGGTACTTGCTACTACACGAACCTATCTTCTTCTCATCGATGCGCTTCAAAAAGGCGGCAAGAACGACGGCAAACTTGGGTTCGAAAAGTCGTTCGCTAAAGACGACAAACCACAACCCCGTCGTCTCGCGCTCACACCAGCACACGTTGCCCAATTCCAGCACGAAACCAAACTTCCGATATCCTTCACCACTGCACGCTTCAACACGGGTCTTGACGAAAAAGAAACCACTATCATCACGGCTACCGGTCCCTTTATCGTTACCTGGAGCCTCAAAAAGGTTCTTGCTAATCGCAAGGATCCGTACAACATCAAGCGCTACTCTGAAGAGGTCAAGGCCGACAACTTCAAATTCGGCTCCGACAAGAATTTGATTGTTGCACTACCAAACGAGGTTGATATGGTTGCGAAGAGGGCACTGCAGCGACCAACGAGAGAGAGTATCGCAACAGCGAGTCGCGTTGGGGCTGCAAGGAGGAGTGGAGTACGAGGAAGCTACCTCGGTCGAAATGACATTGTCAACAGTCCTTATTAAGTTCTGTTACAGGGTGCTAGGTATATCAACTTCCATGGAAGAGACTGGGAATGGTGTTGGTGAGGATTCCCACCAGCATAGGCCGTGGGCGTTGGCGTTGTGTTACTTTTCCTTCTTCCCTGTTTCTCAGCCATGCGCATCGCGCTGCCGACAAACTGGGCTACTTTGCGATTCCTTTCCCCTCATGAAGATATTGGTGTAAGGCCTATGAGAGACTATATAGTGATTCCTGCATCCCACCCGTACCTCCATTGTCCTTCTAATGGACAAAAATGAGGCCAATAAAGTTGTCGAAATGGACATGCCCTTTGCCCAAGCCTCACCACGATAGATAGGAAGACAAGCCGTTTAGAGAAACATGCAACAGGGATACTAGGAGAATGACGTGCTTACCAGCGTAACCTGACCTGTTCCTTTTGTCAGACATTGTGCCATTGCCCACGTGCTTGAAAACCAACAGGTCGCAAAAATAGCACAATACAACGTTACAGGAAAGCCCAATACAGTAGTTTAGTCCCAAACCAATCACAACAGCCACAAAATAGCTTACTCGTTCGACTCCGGGGAGTCTTGGCGGGTACCTCGATTCAACCTCGGCACATCAGACAAAGACATCTCCACATCATACCGCCCCAACTTTCCCTTTCCCCAACCTCGCTCCATAAGACGGTAAAACCCGGACCTATTCTTCCCCGTCCTTTCTTCACTGTTCTCATACGAAACGCGCGCGCACACACATACATACACTCATACATATATACATCCCGTTACCATACCGGCTTATCAGTACCCATAATCCCTAATCCTCCACCCTTCGCGACCGATTAAACCCGAGACGTACATACACACGCACGCGCATACAATACACACAACACATCACGATGTCTGAATCCCTGACCACGAAGCAAGTTGCCGAGCACAACACGGTGGAGACGGGCTTGTACATTATCATCGACGGGGATGTGTATAAGATGGATAGTTTTGTCGAGGAGCACCCCGGTGGCTCGAAGATTCTAAAGAGGGTGGGTGGAAAGGATGCTAGTAAGCAGTTTTGGAAGGTACGTTGCTGTTGTTGTTATATTTCCTTTTTCGAGGTAGATATGCACTTTGACGATTCTTGCAAGGGAGGGAGATGGAGATCTTTTTTTTTTTAAAAAGAGGGTGATGGCTAACGTGTGCGATGACAGTACCACAATGAGCATGTGCTGAAGAAGTATGCCCCTAAGCTTAAGATTGGGAGTGTGAAGGAGGAGGCCAAGTTATAAGTTATAGACTTGCAATATAAAATTTGGAGTTATTTCGTACTATGCGCTTTTTCTCTCTCTTCTCGCTGTGTCGTTGAGGTTGCGCGCATGTCATGAACATGGTGATGTAAAGTGAAAGTGACACTATGCATATGTACTTGATAAAGGATCAATAACTACAAATTACAAAATTTCGGTCCCCGTCTTCTAAGTTCTAGGTAACGTTAAGGTGGTATAGTGCTTTCTCTCCCTCTCCCCCCTTCCCTTCCCCTTCCTTCTCTCATTCTTTCTTTCTCTGCTGGCGCTAATAATGGATAAAAAAAGACTTCGCACGCAAAACATATAAATGCCGTGGGTATCGTGATAGTGAGAAAGGAAAAGAGAAAAAAAAAAGTAAAGGAAATTCCCGAACAACAAAAAGAACCGACCCGGAAAAGGGAAAGGAAAAGGAAAAAAGATACGCCTTGCTATCTCGATTTGCTGCAACAGCAAAAGGAGAGAAAACAAGGGAGCTAGCATGTAACGCCGAGCAACTCCTTCATCGCTGCGTTTTTTTTTGTAAAAAAAAAAGAGGCAGATAGTAATAGCGCACTGTGGGTATCCGAAGAAAGGGGCGCCCTGTAGTCCCCTCCTTCATTATCATCGTCGTATCCCTCCAGCACACCAAAAAGCTAAAAGCACGTCCACCTCTTCCTAATCCCCGGTCTCGATCCAGGCCTCGGCACAGGACTAGTCCTAGGTCTCGCACCTTGCTGCTGTTTCTCTTTCACAGCCTGCAAGTCAAACTCGCCTTCTTCCCCATCATCTTGCTCGTACTCCTCGTTGCTGATGCGATACCGCCGCACAGACCCACCATCCTCATCCGTCTTGCTGTAGAATTTCTCCTGAGGACCAGACACGCATCTAGGCGTTATTCTGCGCAAGAAACCACGGAGACCGCTGTTGGCTTTGTCGATTCTTTGGTACTCGCGTTGGCGCGTGCAGGGCGATGTCCAGTGCATAGTCGTGTTTGTTTTTTTGGCAGCGGTGGCGTCGTCATGGAGAGGGGCAGGCTCGGTGGCGGGGCGGGTGTGGTGCGCGTCGGATTCTTGGACGACGCGCAGGGTGTCGGTGCTGAAGCGCGTGGTGCTGGTGTTGCTGGGGAAGCCGAACGCGTCACCATGGGAGAGCGTAGGCGAGGGGAGACCAGAGTGGGATTGGTAGGAGGGGTTGGAGAAGATGCTGCAGCTGCGGAAGTGGAGGGCTAACACGTCGTCGATGTCGGCTGTGGGTGGGGTTTGGAAGCTTTTAACGCGGTAGTGGCGCGCTGGTCGCGAAGGGTCGACTATGGTGCAAGAGGTGCGTCTGGATGAGGGTTTGGAGCCATGACCGCGGCTTTTGGATCGGTTGGTTGAGTTCTCGGATGAGGTTGTGGATTGCTGGCGTAGAGGTCTTGAGCGCTGCTCTGATACGGGTCGGCGGGTTTCCATATTCGCGACTTGGACAGAAGACGATGATGGCTCGAGAGCCGATTTCTTGGACCTCCGTTGGTGGATAGATGTCGTGTTGCTCCTATGAAGTAGCACTGGTTTTTCGCTGGCCATGTTTGAATGTTGAAATCCAGCGAATCCACTATCTATTCGGTCCATTGTCGATCCATGTAAGAGGACGGTTTAGAAGTAGCAGAAAAAAAGGGCCGTGACGTAGATGTGGGATATATTGATCGTTAAGACGCCGTTAATATCGACTTAGTCGTTGATAATCTCGGATACTCGTCTGCATTGGTAGTTAGTACCCAAATAAGGCAAGTTCTGTGCTCAAGGGGTAAGACGCCCATACCAGCAGCCAGTGCCAACACGCGATGTGAAACAGAGAGAATATTGATAGCGGCGCAAACGGACGAAAAACCTCACTCATAGACAGGCGCAGGAGAGAGAAAAGAGAAGTAGAGGCGGAAAGTAGAAGAGAAGAGGCCGAAGTCGCAACGAGGATATGTGAACACCAAGTAGTTTGTTGGGGGCCCAGTCAAGTGACGCAGTAGTATGCGCGACTCGCCTGGAACTATTGGAATCAACCGACACGATTAGGTAGACAGACGAGGCGGCTACGACAAAGTATATAGAGAAGCGGCTCCGAACGACCAAAACGTAAACGTGAGCCGTTGGTTGGCTGGTCCAGACCGTACCTAGTAGGATGCAGCGCGACCGAACGGCCTTGCAACAAAGCGTTTTCCGCAGCTGCTGAGCCGAGCGCGTGGACGGGCTGTAGCGAGAAAAAAAAAGAGGTCCCAGTTCACCGCCTCACAAGATTGGTTTTCTCGTGCGCGGGGACAAGATGTTTGAAAGCAGACTTAGTGGAGCGATATGAGAAATAAAACTGGAGAAGGGGATTTGAGGTTAGCCTCCGTACGTCTTGAGACAGAGCATGACAAGTGCACTAAATATGTCACAGATGAGGTCGCACGCAATCGTAGAGAGTTTAAACAAAGGGTGTGTCTCTCTTTCGGCAAGTATGGTGACGATGTCATTGTGCTTGACATGTGAAAAGTATGTGTGTGTGCGTGAGAGGGCAGATAACGACGAGGCGGATTCATAGGCTGGCTATGGCTGACCTTGTGACGGGTTGGGGTAAGGGATGTGCGGTCCCAAAGGATATCGAGTGGCAAGGAGCAGCAGCCTCGTATACTGACTAGAGCCACACTAGACAGGCCGGCTGGAAATCTGCATGGACGGCGGAAAGGACCGAATCAAACAAGAGAGCGACACACCAGTCAACGCGAAGCCAAGATGCACGCGCCCGACTCAAGCAACTTACCTGGCGCGGGCAAGGTCGATGGGTGAAGGGCAAAGCTACCAGTAGTGGCGTTACGCATGGCACGCGTAGTCGATGGTGGAGGGGGAGGGAGGAAGGGAGGGAGGGGCCGTAAGGGTCGTGACACAAGGACCAAATCCCACGCTGGCGGGACGGCGTTTGCATGTGTGCTGTGCATGGGCCTAAAGATATACTTACATATGTACCTTTTTCTCCCTGCTTGAGATTTGCCGCCAGGTGGCTGTCAAGTGCATGGAAACGCGGCCCGCCGTCTTACTGCTTACAGGCCCCTCTCCGCTGCAACCAGGCGTGTAAAAAAAGCCAAGGGGGAACGAGAAGGAGAGGGCGCCAACAGGGCCCCGCCAATACAGCAGACCTGGCGCAGGGACTGGCGCCAATGATCATGTCATGCGGCGTAGCATACCAGCACCCACGCCCCCCCCCAAAGATTACCGCCACAGCTTACTTGACCTGGCTAGCAGTTGTTATATGCAGTCTTCTGGGAGATCGGCTTCGCACGTGCGCTTCTCACGAACCCGTCGTCGACTCCACAGGCACACACCGTGAAGGCTGGTCGACCAAAGAGCGGTATGATTTGGCACCTGTTTGTTGCTGACCCTCCCTCATGATGGCCGTTGCTCAATAACACATCTTCACACAGACACATTGTTTAAACTTTCCTTCTCCCCGCCGTTTCTCACCGTAACGCTTGGTTCGTGCATCGTTCTACGTTGACAATGACCGTGTTAATGCCTTTCCCCCCTTGTTCACTGGATCTCGTGGTAAAACGCCTCAATCATGCTGGCGACCTGTTCAAACGCTTCGAGACAATGCCAATGCCCGATCCCCTCTAGAATCTCCAACTTCTTCTCGCTGCTGCCAATCTCGTCGAACATCTTCTTGCAACCCTCCAGCGGCGCGCTCTTATCTTCTTCGCCCGCGAGGATAAGAACAGGCACGCCGATGTCGCCGTACTGAGGCACATTTGCATTGATGATGACTCGGCAGTTGGATACGTAACCAGCTGGGTCCTGTGACAAGAGCAACTCGCGGATCATCGCTTTGGCAAGCGGGGAAGCTTTGCTTCCCACTGCTGCTTGCGGGATGCTATCTGCCATGGGTTGCATGCCCTCTTTTTCCACAGTCGCAATCCGTTTCTCGAAAATAGGCCCTACCCCAGGGTTGGGATAGACGGGGCCGATAAGGATGGCTGCTACAATGCGATCACTACGCTCAGCAGCAAGATGCGCACCCACGATACCGTAGCAGAAGTTAGCTCATCATCTCTTCTTCTTCTTATTTTTTATACCCCATAAATGCTTGATTGTGCTGAGCGCAAATGGGAAACATACCCTCCCATGCTATGCCCTACAAAGACGGCCTTGTCCACCTTCAGGGCATCCAAAATGCCGACAACATCCTCGCCCAGCGTTTCAATACTTTGCTCGACAAAGGTATACGGCGAGCGCCCAGCGCCGGTGTTATCAAAGGTTATGCAGCGGAACCCGCTTCTAACCAGCTTCTGGCATACAGCATAGTAGTAGTTCTGCGACGAGCCCAGACCATGCATGAAGATTAGTGTCTCTCGCGTCTTTCTATTTGTCGGCGTCAGATCCGCATAGTGCATCCGCTTGTATCCAAGATGAAGAAATGGCATCGTTTGTTTGGTGTGTATATGTATTGTATGTGATGGGCGCAGATTTCGAAACGTGTTTGGTTTATTACAGGACTCGGCCGAAGCCGCAAGAAGCGGGATGATCCCGTGATGTCATTTTTCTGGGACTGATAATGGCATCGATAAGGGGTCTACACATCGACTTCTGCTCATGAAAGGCCAAACTCCATATATTGAATTCGGTGATATATCGAGAAAAGAAAATCACTCAACGGGTTTCCGAGCCTCGAAATAGTAAGATAAACCCTTGATCTGGATATGTATGTCACATGATTGAGCACAAAGCTCTACTTTCACAATTGCATCCCTTTTGATCTGCACCTATCCCCTATCCCCATTAACTTTGTGATTTTCACATTGCACTATTAGCCTAGCAACCCAATAATACACACATGTACTCAAAGAGAAGAAAGAAAAAGAACGACGCTCAACAAAATAAATCTTTTATGTATTTCAAACCCCGTTCTACGCAGTCAACCCGTCGGCGACGTCAATCGATACATCTCCTTTAGCGCTTCCATACACCTCTCCCCAAGCGCCGATTCATTCAGCACCTTGGGGTCATGCAACAGTGTCCATATGAGCTGCGCTAGCCCCTCTCTCGTCGTAGCCTCCTTAAGCGCATCCGGTCCTTCGTCCGCGCCCTCGTTCAGCGTCTGTGACACGCTCTTCGCCCGTGAACGTCTTCGCCGGAAAGCAAAGATGCTCCGAGTCATGCCCTGGCTTGCGTCGCCGCTTACGTCCCAGAGCGCCACGCGGTTGATGAAGTGCTTTATTGCTTTTTCTTCAAACTGCGCTTTGCGGGGTGCGATGGCGGAATCGAATTCTGGATCTGCGGGATAGGATTTTGGGTCCCAGAGGCGGAGGAGGTAGCGGAAGGCTCGAATTTCTGCGTCTTGGACGGGTAGGCTGTTGAGGTCGAGGGCGAAGGGGTCGTTGGACAGGATGGAGGAAGAGGAAGAGGTTGGCCGTCCGCTTGTGGTGCTGGTGGGTGTAGAGACTTGCTCTTGCTCGTACTTGAGATCGAGGGCTTGGTGTGTGTCGATGATTCGATGGAGGGCTACCCTCTGGTTCTGAGGCACGGCATCGGTGCCCTGGAAGACACGTGGGTACTTCCTTACAGAGTGTTCAACGGGTGCTGAGAAGGAGCGTGAGGAGACGCTGCTCCCACTTCGGTTGTTGCTGAGGAAGTGTGGTCGCTTGGATTGTGAAATGGTGGCCATGGTTGGCAATGTGATGTGTGGTCGCTCTCGTAAAGTGGTGGATCTAGACGTATACCATTAAGGGAAAGCGTAACACCTTTTCACTGTATAAACAATTGTCAAGGCAAGTCAGGCAGAAGTAAGTAAAGGGAGTCAACAGTTGGACAGATCAACAAGAATGAGGAAGAAGGAAAGAAGGAAAGAAACACCAGCAAAAAGCCAGTCAGCAGACGGCTGGCAGGCATGCCGACTATCCAGTAATTGAGCTGCGCACAAGCCGGCTGCCGAGCGTGACGCAACGTCCTATTCGGATATGCAGTGAGCTGTTCAGACATTATTCCCTCACTGACGGCCTTTTTAGCACGGCCGTGTTGTGTCGCGGAACCCCAGCCGTTTATGCACTTGATTGGCGACTGAGCCACTGCGTCGTTTGAGCCACGTTCTCATGAGCCACTTCTGACACGCTGTGTGGTTGAGTGACTGCGCCGCACTCTTCCGGATGATGCGGGTCTGCAAACGACGGTGGTGGAGTCGGCGACACGCCCGGGCAACGCTTTGGCCCTGCCGCTAACCCGGCTTGGTCGGCCATTCGGCCACCGTAGCAAGTCGCTGAGGGCGGAGCGTATGCTGTCCATACGCTGACGCGTTAGTATGCACCTTACCTCTTCTTGCTAATACCTACAATGCGTAAACCTAAACCCGTAAGTCTGCGCGTCCTGAACTACTCAGTTACATGCGGTGAGGATATGCAGCTAGTCTTGCCCTGTTCATCGTCATGCACATGATCTATAGGCAACCAAATATGTAACATACACATGTATCAAGTTATATATGTCATATATGTACACACTGATATCGAGAATACACAAGTCATTACGACCGCGCTGTCCATGATGCACAAAACGCCTTGCAATGCAGCTTATAACCAACGTCCAGACCTCGTAAAGAAGACGAACACCCTAGCGCGACTGGCATGCCCCCTTGCGGCACCCTTCCAGAACACAACAAACTTTATCATGATGGTGGAACAGGCTCCGTCTTCCCGTTTGGAAGTATGTGCTGAGTAGTCGACATGCGCACACCCGATGGCCGGTCCGCCTTCTTTGCTTCTATCGCTGCGCTTTGCACATCCGTTTCCTTCTTGACGTCCTCGTTTCCACCCGTGACGTTGGGTAGTGTCTGGGCCTCCTTCAGCGCGTCTTTGACCATCTTCTTCGCCTCGATTGCCAGGTTCGGGATTTCCTCAGACTCCTTGTTCTTGTTCAAATACGACTCAAGCAGCGCCTTGAGAGTCTGCGCGCGCACGGGCTTTGCTAAGTAGTTGTTCATACCGCTTTCGATACCTGCACCAGATTCTTAGTCTATCGGAACAAACTTAACCGAGCGCAGCACTTACACTTTTCACGGTCACCTTGTATGGCCGAAGCTGTCATAGCAATGATGAGAACGTTTCTTATCTCAGGATTGGGATGCTTTCGGATGAGTTTGGTAGCTGCGTGCTATTAGTATATGTAGATTGAATGCATAGTAAAGAAGAGCCATCTTACCTTCGTAACCATCACAATGCGGCATTTGCACATCCATGAGGACCAGATGGAATGGTCGGCCGTTCTCGGATGCACGCTCCAGAGCATCTATTGTCTTGAAGCCGTCCAGATACGCATCGCATTTGAACCCAAGTTTTTGCACAAAGCTGATGGCGATACGCTGGTTGATCAGATTGTCCTCCGCAATACAGACCCGCAGGTCTCGTCTTGGGACAGCAGACAGGTCAATGCAAGCACCTGAAGTATGCTCATGACCATTGTTCTCTTGGCTCGAGAACCTGGCCATAGGATCTGGCTCTCTACTCCTCTGTTGCTGATCCGCTACACGTGCTTTCGGTACTTTCTTGAAGCGTAGCGAGAAAGTGACAGTTGTTCCCTTGCCTGGCTGGCTATCGAGGCGTACTGTTCCATGCATGACATTCTCTATGAGAGCCTTACAGATACTGAGGCCGAGACCTGTGCCACCATAGCTTCTGGCAGAGCTAGATTCAATCTGTGAGAAGGGAAGGAACAATTTTTGCTTCTGCTCGTCTGGAATGCCGATTCCAGTATCAATGACGCTGCAAGTCACATCTGCCCACTCGCTAGTCTCTTGATCAACGACTGCACGAACCGTGACCGACCCTCTCGGCGTGAACTTGTAGCTATTGGATAGTAGGTTCATAAGGATTTGATGAAGCCGAACGGGGTCACCCATGACTAGCATTTCCGGATCTAGTTCCAGCTGTTCGATTGTCTTGAGACCTCGCTCAGCATTTGTGTACGCAAGCGCACGAACAACTTCGGCAATGGTCTCATTGAGCGAGATTGGCATCTCCATGACGTTCATCTTGCCAGCCTCGAGTTTGGAATAGTCAAGCAAATCGTTGATGATCGAAAGCAGCGTATCAGCGCAGACACGAATCGAGTCTGCATATCCTGATTGCTCCCCATTGAGAGGCGACGCCTTCAACAGCTCCGACATTCCAATGACTCCATTCAGGGGCGTGCGCAGTTCATGCGAAACATTGGCTAAAAAGAGACTCTTGGCCTTTGCTGCTTCCTCCTTCAATTTCATGTTGCGAATGGCATTTGCTTCGGCCTCTTTCGCTTTGATCTCTGCAGCTCGTGCCTGCGCCAAGGCCCGTTTCTGCATCTCGAGCATTGCCTCGTTACTTGCAGAAACCCTCTCAACCTCCTTGAAGAGTAGCGCATTGGCCAGAGAGATGGATATTTGGTTGACCAGCAATCGGAGGACTTGCGTGTTTCGTTCGGTGAACGAGTTTGGCGGACCCTCAACATAGATCGAACCCAAGAGATGGTCACTGTGTACGATAGGGATACAAATAACTGCTTTGCCTTCGGGGTTGCGTCGCAGGTACGAGTCTGAGACGTTGGAGAAACGGTCGTCTTCTAGCAGGTTCTGAACAAAGACAGTCTCCCTAAAGCGCAACGTGTAGAGTGTCACCTGTCTAGCCACCACATCGTCCACAGTGTCCAAAGGCTGACTGGCAGGGAATGATGTAACACCCGAACTGAACCCACTGTCATTGTCGGGCTCATTGGTAGCTACGCATGCGATAGACCACTCAATCTGCGGGTCCTCGACGACAATGCCACAAAGTGTTCCTCCAGTGGATTCCAAGAGAATCGAACTCATCTTGGCCATGAGTTTATCTACCACTAGTTCACTCGAAAGAACCTGACTTGACTCAAGGATAGAGGAAAGATCTAACATGTCAAGACCAACAGCCGATAGGCCATTCTGCAGGCCCTGAGCGGACTCTTGGCGACGAGTGCCCTCCGGGACGATCCAGTTCTGCGTTCGGTCAACAGATGTTTCAGTCACCAGGTCATTCTGTTCGAGCCGGAAGGCTGTGTTGTTTGTTTCAGTGATCGAAGTCTGAACACCAACGTCCTGAGCAGTAAATGGAGCACTACGACCGAGAAGAGACTCGTGCTTGCTCGCGAAGTGATTCGCCTTTCCAAAGGCTGACATTTGTCTATATGTCGAGAGACAGTCCTTGACCGTATGACGGGCTGCCCTGTACGCTTTTTTCCGGATGAGAAATTCGGAATACAACTCGAGAGCAAATGCTTCGTCTAGTGTGAAGTTGTAAGTCTCGCTATGGTCCATGGCGTCTTCGTAATTTTGCAGCGCAGAGGTATAGTCGAGACTGCTCTCCGCTAGAAGGGCATTGAGAATATGCTTCCAGCCTCGGTAGTTGGCATCCGTAATTGTACAACATGCCTCGAGTAGCTTCAGTGTATCTTGGACATGGCGAAGCATTTCGTCTTTGCGAGCATTCTGGGGGTCTGCTCTGAGAACAGCCATATATGCCACTGATAAATAATACCGGACCGAGTAGTTTGACCGTTCGCACCACATACTGCTTATCATGGGCAGTAATAGCTCTCCAAGAGCAACAGCCTCTGAATTGAAACCGAAGAGCACCAATACTGGAAGTTTCATAGCAAGGTATATCGATTTTGGCCGCTTCGGATTGCTCGCCGTCTTTTCAAGGAAGTCGATGTACTCTGCTTCATTGTGTTCGTGATCGGAGAAAATCGACGATGCGTCGTTTGTACCCGTCTTTCCTTGAAGAGCTCGCGCGCATTGGCGGCTGACCATTAGGAACACACCTCCTCTTAAATCCTTTTCCCAATTTTTCATGTCTAGAGGTGTTTCCTCGATCCAAGCCTCTAATTCAGCGACGTCATGAGAAGCCATAATTTTGAAATAAGCCTGAATACCAATATTCAAGAGCGTGAGAATACGATCACCCGCAGTCAGGGAAGCCTGTAAAGCGTCCCCCAGAAAAGGAATCAAATCGCCAAGTGGCCCTTCGAAGTGGCCAAGGAACAAAGGCTGTAGAGTCTGGGCTCTGCCTAAAGTGTAGTAATCTTCAGGGAACGTCTGGAAAATCCGCTTTGCTATATCACCCATGTCCACAGCAAACTGTATCATGTTGAATCGGCCACCAGCAATACTGCCAAGGTGTACGTACGCAAGCGCTACCTGTGACATGATACCTCGGTCAAGGTGCACTTGGATTAACATTAGTGTTGCTTGATAGAACAGTAAGCTGTTTGACCAGAACGCCGCACTAAGGAGCTCGACAAATACAGGCCCAATGGTCATCAAGACGTGGTCGTTTGTTGGTGATTGGGGCGTAAGCAGCTCGTTCTTGTCAGTCGCTTGAAGCGTACTGTAGAGCTTTTGGAACTGTGCATCACATGCTTCCCACGTTGTGGGAGGTATAGGATACCCAAGCATAGATAGACAATTCTTCAAAGCCTGAAGTGCTCTGTAGATAGTGAAATTGTTAGCGTACAACTCAAGAAAGGTATGGCAGTCGTTTTTGTAAGGGGAGAATGTGGATTTACGTACCCCAAACTATCGCCACGAACGGCAAAGACACGGGATTGAAGGATGAACGAGCTGGCCTTGTCACATGGGTTTCTCGCATGCTGAAACGTCGTCTCAATCAGACTAAGAGCTTCGTCATACATGCCCTGATGCCAATAGCATTCGGCTGAACGAACAAAGAGTTGCAAAGTCTCCTGATATGAAACATCTGGTTTGCTTTCATCCCATGGATCATCTTGCAATAGCTTGAGGCTGTGTGCAAAGTAGTAAATACCTGTTGACCTCGCGCCAGACTCACATGCCGTCTCTCCTGCCTGGTAGAGCATGTCACGAAATGGAGCCCGTATTGGTTCCTTGGACTTGATCAACTCTGCAGCAAGACAAATGTGGCGGCTCTGCATATACAAAGCCTTTGAACTCAGTTCTGGATCATCCAGGTACTC